GGCATCTCGAACGTTTTGGTGACAAATTTAACAGTAAGTAGCCGACACGAGCTCAATGCTTGGGAACCCAGTGGCGGCGTTATGTTTGGGACGCACTCTATTTCTTGCTGCTTCCTTTTGCTGTGTGACCTGATTTGTACGGTACCTATTACAAGTAGATAAATTGCTTGTATTTGATCACTTTTAGTCTAGAATTGCAATCTAACTAAGGCCAAATCTGATTTTGAGTGTAGCGTGGAAAGGTCACGTGAACCTATGACGTCACGAGACGTCATGTTATTGCGTGACACTGTGACGTTACGCGACAGCATAGAGTCATGTAACACCATGACCTCATGTGTCGTCGTCATGTAATGCGGCGTCACGGTGCCAAGGGGCTTGATGTCACGTGGTCACGTCCTGTCCTTCTTGCGGGTGAGAAGTAGGTTAGAATAGAAAATAATAGAATGGATTTGTTGATTTCAGACATACATGTTCCGGGGGGCTGTAGCAAAAGAAAGCAGAATGCCCTCTGACGTGGCCCCCAAATAGCGGTGGACAGAGGCAGCGTACAATATTGAAGTAACAAGACCAAAATAAACAGACATCTGTGAACTATTCAGATCAAAATCATCCATGAACGAAAGGAAAACTCTAACCATAAAATAATACGGACCCCGACGTTTCAAGGCCAGTTCGGCCCCTTGTTCACGGGTGACTGTTTTCGATCTTGTCGTCGCCTTGCAAATTGCTCTTTGTTGTTGGCTTCTTTAAGGCGGCGGACCCACGGCCCGAACCATAATACCGGCAGTAGCTGTGCTAACTCTCCTGCTTGCGGTGCAAATGTTGTGTCTGTGCGCGTGCCACGTATTTCGTTCTTTTTGCAAATAAATTGCCAATTCATCATAACTCTTTTAGTGTAGAATGTGATATGCATTTTTCAAAACTTAACGTACAATAGAAACATAAAAAGTGCAAATATTACGTTTTATGGTTCATAGTGCCTCGCGTTACGCACCGCAAACCGGACAGGTTTGGAAGTGTCCCAGCTGACCGGTTGACGTTTTTTTCGGCGTTCTGAATGTACCAGGACTTTAATAAAAGGCGTCTTCGCCAGTTTCTTTCCGTGCAAAGAATATAGCAGTCGTTGAATCCGATCGTGTTACCCCCCTTCAGGACGTGTTCTCACGGATGGCGCGAACGTCATGCTGTGACGTAAAGATAGCCCCGATCGGGAGAGGAGGACCGGGCAAGGGGATGGAAGCGTTGCGTCACGCAACTCGTCCTCGCGAAGTAAAGGCAACGGACGCCGTGGAGTCTTCCGTCGTGCACAAACCGACCTGCTGCTTTTGCGTGTCCTTAGCAAGTCGGCCTTTTAGGACTCATCGAGAGCGTCGAGACCCGAATATACTCCGTTTCACCTTGCGATTGCCAGCAGCGTAAGTCTCGGGCCATTCCAATGTCGTGCGAGTGTCACGTGAACTTCGGGAGGGGCGCAACAGTGCAGTAATGCGCGGGGTGCGTACTCCCTTAGCTGGGATGGTTCCTAACGTCCGCTATGGTCTATCGTGGTTAAGTCATTTTGAACAAAACAGTATTCTCACCTAAAATCTTGAGACATGCACACTATATGGAATAAATAAAGCTATTTTGTGTGCTTCAAAGTCAGAGAAACCACGAAGGGCCAGGGGAATAGTTTAGGATTCTTGGCTACGTAGCGCAAGCTACCGCCCGTTATACATACTGTCATTAGCATCGATCCATTCATTCGGTACAGGGATATCCGATACTGGGCGGAGCTGAACGGAACTCGTGCGCGACAAGTCGAAGCAGCCATCTTTCCTGCAGTTCGCACGTCGGACCGGATAGCTTTGCCGCGAATGTGTATCGCGCTTAAACGTCTCTGTGAAGTTCTACTTTCGCCAATGTGTGAGGCCGGGCAATCTATACATGGTGTGCGCTAGACTAAACCTTGGGCCTTTTCTTTAAGGGGGGGGGGGGGGGGGGCGAAGCCGATTGTTAGCACAGGCTTGCGAGTCGCCGCAAAACCGTGGGACCAAAAGGAAAGAGCCTCGCTGGAGTGGCTGATATTGACTGTTTCTCCACGTGAACGAGGTGCCGAACTGGTTTCGAAGCATCGGGTTACAATGGAACGTCGGGAATATGGCGCACACACACATTGCTTGGTGCGATCAGTCTGCTAAGTGCTTCGTAGTTATTTAGTAAATACTAAGAGTTGACATTTATGAGCCTCTTTTATCAAAGGTTAACCTGGGCTGAAATCAAAAACGCAGTTTGTTCTAACACAGCCTGTCCAATCTCCAGAAAAAAAAAGCAATAAAGTAAGTCCAACATGTTGGCCATGAAAGTAAACAATATACTTAGTCAAAAAACATTTGGAACTTACTTCTGACCCGTGATAGATCACGAACTTGCACCAGATTGCTCAGCCCAATGGCGGTCCATGACTCCCTCGTCAGGACGACCCGGAAGGACGATGCAGTGAGGCGGTCCTTTCATGCATCCCTCTACGTTGAGCTGATGGTCTGCTGGCAACCGGTTTTTTCTAGTCGATGTGCGCCAGCTGGTGTAAGAGCAAGTTCTTAGACAGGCAACATAAAGTATGATGTGCTGTTGATCATGTTTTAAATTATTTATAATAAACACATTTATTTAAATACTTTAACGACCCCTTCGGAACATTGCATAAGAGGTGGCTAACAACAAAACGGGTAGGAGGTCTAAGAAACGTGTCCACTGTAGCGTCCCATCAATTCATGGAAGCCCACATCCCCAGCCGGGGTGCCAAGAGGTCGCCAAACGGTTTTGACGTCGTGAAGTGGTCGCGTTGTTTGACCCCATGGCGGATAGACGTACGCCGTGGGCCCAAGCGACAACAATATGGCCCCGAAATTGAGGCAGAAGGGACCGGGAAAGGGTCTTTCATCCCAGATGTTGACCAACAAGAAAGCAAGTTTTCGGGGTCGGGATCAATTAGGGGCGACCACAAGGCTTTAGATCCAGTTTCTGTGTAGAAAAGTGTAAGAAGTAAGGAACGGAAATGTTTGCAAAAATTTTGAGATGAGGTGCATACGAAATAACAAAAATCTAAGCACGTATTGCATAATGCTAAACTAATTCAATGTTTTTTTGTTTTGTTTTTTCTTTTTTACACAAGCTCGATGCAGGCCTCTGAAGGCAGATACTTATAGTTTCCGACAAGTAAGAAAAGTTTAGACGGGAAGGTTCCAATTTAAATTTACGCTTAAAAAAACGTGGAGAATGATTTTCAGCAGCAATTCGTGAAAAATACCAACTTATACGAATTGTTCCCTGGCAGAAGAACGTTGTAAATGGTGAAACAATCTAAGCTTTAGAAGGACGAATAAAAAATACGAGCCTGTACTTCTGAATGTTTCTACTTCACAAACCTTGTTTTTATACGAACGAGGTTACCTTGAAGCAGCAAGTGATTTATCTGATGAGTGATTCACTTGACGAGAAATGACAATCATCAACGATAAGATGAACATGAAATGCGAATGATAGCAGTAAGGCACTAAAGCTCCGTCTAACTAATTACGTGCGGTGTAAGTAAAGACAACGCCGAACTAGGGTAAAAAGGCGAGCACTAAAAAAGCGGGAGGCACGACGGGAGAGAGGAGAAATGGCGAGCACTATGATGGGATGGAGAACAGTGGAGGCTTCTCTTTTTCCCAGCTTTGCAAGTGCTTGCCCTTTCTCTCCTTGTGCAGTGTTGCCTTCGCCTACATTGCTCACAACTAGTGAGATGAAGAGTAGCTCCAGAAATATGCAGAACAAGGATTTCGAGTAGTAACGATGCCCTAAGAAGGGATGTCACAGCATCACTCAGGTTTTATTTCGTGCAAAGTGTAATGCTCGGGCATATGTGAGTCGCAAAGCCGTGGGGTCTTGTGGGTTGTTGATAGGAGAGAGGGTTGCCCTCAGGTACTGTAGAATTCTTAAATATCTATAAGTGAGACGGTGGACATTAGCATAAAAAGGTCTATGTAACCGCTTGGTTTTAATGGTAAAAGAACGACACACTCAACTTCCTCCTCTTAAATTCTCGATCAGTACTTCAATTCCTCGTGCTTTCTTCGTTCTTCTCTTCGACTTCCTCAACATCCTCCCGAGCAAGCATTGCTGAATAGATTTCAAGTTGATGCAGCTTTTAAACTGGTCTTACATATACGTTTCCATTTTTGTCTCTGACGTGACATGCTCTTGCGCACCCATCTGTTCTTCTGTAACTCGGGCGAGGTTCCAAAAATAGTCTGGACTTTTTTTGTCCACTAACAGGACTACGTCATTAACCTTCAACGAAACAGCCTTGGCGTTTGGGTACTGATGAGCCGATCGCAGTATCACAATATACTCTTTACTCCACCGATTCCAAAAAGTGGTCCATAACCAGTTCTCTATACCTCAGCCTTCGAGTTGATTCCATATGAGTCATGGACATGGGAAGTTGAGAGTCTGAACCGACTTCCGGAAGAACAATGACGCTTTGTCCAATCAGAAAATGAGCTGGACTGACAGGTGTCGGCTCCTTGAGGTCGGAGTAAACGTATGTTAATGGTCGGGAATTAATGATGGCTTCTGCTTCCAAAATCACAGTTGCTAGCTCTTCAAACTTCAGACTGCTTCTTCCCAAAACTTTCCTTAAAACTACCTTTACTGAGCGAACTAACCTCTCCCACCATCCTCCCCACCTGAGAGCGCTTTCAACAATAAATCCCAATTCTGACACCATGTTATGTTGCTAGTTAAGCTCAGGAGAATGGTTTAAGCAAGCTGTTTAATAAGTAGAATACGGGATCAAAGCCGCAGCTATGGCGATTGCTCGTCAGTTCCAAACGCAACAGCGCGTGCCAACCCCTGCGAGCGTGCTTACTGGATGTCCTCTTCTTATAAGATCAGAGAGCCTCATAACATCATAAAATGCCCCCTTCTTCTTCTTTTATTTTGAAGATAACGCAGTGCGAGTGCGGCAGTTGTCAGTCCCTGTATCGTAGCGGCTTCACCACGACGCGTCCGCTTCTTGTTGTTTTTTGGCCATTCTGTTGACCTTGTAGACGTGGAAATGTTTTCAAGTGATTCGTCGTTTGATTCTGTAGGGACATAGTCTTCAGCAGCTTCGTTTGAGGCTGTAGGGAAATAGTTTTCAGCAGCTGTATTTGTTTCTGCTGTTCCATGTGCTTCTTTGATGTGGTAACGGTTGCGCCTGTAAGTCCTCGATGTGTTTCAGCTGCTTCTTCTCCTCGTTCCACTTGCTCTCCTCGGCTCAAGACTGCTCCACCAGGGACTCATACCGCCAGGAGAGTTCCGCTATCGCGACTCGGCTTGCTGGTGCCTCCGAAGTTCTCGCTGTACCCCCAGTGTCCTCGGTGACATGTTCCATCGAGGCTCCCAGTTTTTGGTTTGGCGCCTGTACCAACCGTTCTTCAGCCTTGAGATGCTTGTCCTTGAGGCAGCGAAAGCGCTCTTGCAACTGCTGGTTTGCTTGCCACAGCTCTTGCAGCTCCTGCCGGGTCTTTTGTCCCACTGCGCCCTGCTTCTCCTCGAAGACTGCGAGAGCTCGTCTGGCTGTTGCCCACTCTTCTGTGAGCTGTGCGCACCTGTCCTCCAAGCTGTGTTTCTCTCGGGCTGCCGCGTGAAACTCTTCCTGCTGGTTCCTGCGTCTGTATACAATGTGGGTATACTTGTCCAACAGCTGGGAGTCTTCAGCGCTGACAGTGCTGCCTCACACTTGGCCGCTACGTCCAGCGCAGTGCTGTGCTCGTTCTCCATCTCCTTGGTGGCCCTGACGTGCTGCTTGCACAGAGTCTTCAGCTCCTCCTCGAGGCAATGTCGTGCCTGTTCTAAGTTCTCTGCTAGCTGTTGAAAATGTTTGTTGTCGCTGACGAGCATCTCGCCTTGCTCCTCCGGGCTGGAAAGTTCTGACCGCAAAACGTCGGCATCGATTTCTAGCTTTCCGTTGCGTTTTAGGAGGCTACTGACTTTCTCGTCCACTCTGTCGCACTCTGTTTCTGCCTTCTCGGTAATGGAGCTTCCGTCTGCTTCTGTTTGCGACGAATTGTGACGCTTAACAACATTCTCTCTCTCTCTCAAAGTCTCGGCCACCTTTCCGTGTCTCTGCTGCCAGAGGCGGCTTTCATAAGACACGCATCTAATTTTTTCACTCGCATCTTCACAAAATGATTTCCGCTGCTGACTTTCTTGAGCGAGGGGCTCGTTCCTAACTGTCAAGGATTTGACCCGTTCCTGAAGCACTGCCAACAGACAGTTCAAGTCTTCCAGCTGACTTGCTTCAAGAGACACTGCAGCTTCTGACGACTGGTTGGTGTGCTCGATGATCCTCTGGACAAATGCCCCGATGATGCTCCGGACAAACGCCGCGAGATCTTGTAACGGCCACTGGTACCGGTCCTCTAAGTACTGATAGTTTTGCTGAAGTAGATTGAACTGCTCTTCTTTTTTAGCAAGCTGGTTTTCCAGGGCCTCTCTTTTGCGTTTTGCGATGTCCAGCAGCTTCTTGATGTACTGAAAGGCACTGAACTCTCGTTGTTCGGAATCATTCTCAACTACCGGCAAGTCCTCGCCATATTCTTGAAGAAGGACATCCTGCAAGATGCAATACTCGGCAGAAAACCTTCCGAGTTCAAGCTGAGGTGCTTCAAACTTCTCCTTCAGGGTGTCCACTTCCTCCACCTTGGCATCTACAAGCTCCAGCTGCTTTGCCAAATCCCCGCTTAGAGAAACCAGCTGGACTTTCAATGCTTCGGACTCCTAATAATTGGCATGAGAAAATTCTGCTTGCTGCGCTTGCATCTTCCCCAGGAGAGCCGAAGCTGCCTTTACGGCCAAAGCTCGCTTCGATATTTCTCTCGTGCTCCAAAGACATTCGCTGCATTTCTGCCTTTGCCAACACTAACTCTGAAATTAGGCCTTGTCCCTCTTCGGTGCGAGATGCCAGCCTGCCCTTTTTTTTCTTTAATCACCTCTCCAGCTCTATCCCAGTTTGCGCAAGCTTGGTTGCTTTGGTTGATGGAAGAAGCCCAATTGTTATGCCTCCCAAATGGATCGTTTCATTGGAGTCATTTTTCATGGATGAGTTGGAAGTTTCTTCTACAGCAGAAACACGTCGATATCCGATTGCACATTCGGGAAAAAATGTCAAAAATCCCACAGGGAAGGCAGTGCTTTCCGTAAGCTGGTCAGTTTCGGGGTTGATGAGAAGTACCACATCTCGAACATGAACTTTGCTGTCGGTTGCTGGATTGGTCTCTTTGTGGCTCGGAGGGTTGGTACCTTGGTTGCGCTGCTCTGAAGTTAGATGGCTGACGATAGAGTCCATCAACTCTAACTTCGTCTCCAGTTTTCTGAATATCATTCACGTTTTTTTTTTTTTTTTAGATTTCAGCTGCTTTACAGCTTGCAATGATTTTGTCTAGTGTTAGACTCGGTTCACGAAACAATCGTTCGCGTAAAGCCACGTCTCGTATCCCAATAATGATACGATCACCAATGAGCCTGTTTTCTTGAGCTCCGTAGTCGCATTTTTGAGCCTGCAGTATTAGCTCAGTTACGAATTCGTCGATGGTTTGTTCTGGCTTTTGGCTTATTGTGTTAAAAATGGCTGTCGCTTGTGAGACGCTTTTGTAAGGTTCATACTGTTTATCAAATTCGTGCAGTATGTAATCAACTGCATTTTCTCTTTGCACGCTTTGACCATCTCCCGTTGGTTGCAGGGAAAGGTTTGCATAATTCGTCTTGCCTGAGGTCCAAGGCAGTGGAGCAGAAACGCTTTCCGAGTTGCGATAGGCTTGGATGCAAATTCACAGGCTGCCTCGAAGATAAGGTACGATGATTTCCACTCCTCCCATGCTCTTGGTGGGTCGTCACCAGGCTGGAACGGATCTTGGAGCGCCGTCAGCGAGACGTCGGGAGGCAGGCCGTAGGATGCCATGGTATGGTGGCCAACGAGGCTGTTTATGGAGACCTCGGGTAATCATCCTTCGAAGCCAGAGAAGCGACGAGCAAGATTGGTTACAACGGGCGGCTGCGATTTATGGACCGAAATCGGTGGGCAAAGCGACTCTTCGTATACATCCACCTTATAAGTATACAGACAAGAGGGAGGAAGCGGCTATATCAACTGCAAAAAAAAATTTGGTTTCTTCACAGTGCCCGTGAGTGCCAAACAAGACACAAAGTGGAAAACGGAGGTGCGGAAGACAGTGCGTGAGGAGGAGGCCCTTCAGTGGGCAAAGGTGGCCAAGAGCAAGTCAACGCTACGGGTGTACAACCTCAGCAAAAGTACAATATCAGCGGAGGCTCAGTCATACGATAACAGCCTGGGCAGCCGCTTGCTTTTTGAGGCACGTGCAGGAGGGCTGAAAACACTAGTGTACCAACAGAAATATAATCGGATGGTGGAAACAACAACATGCCGGGCTTGTGGAGTAGCGGATGAAACTATCGAACACATCGTCCTCTCATGCACAAGCCTGCAATCAAGCCATCCGGTGCAGTGGTATTACGCTCCTGAAAACGTACAGACACCTGGCCAGCCCCTTCCACAAGCCCAATTGCTGGCGGAAGCACTCGGCTTCCAATCACCTGCGATGGGGCCAGCGCTGAACGCTTTTCTAGATAAAGATGCTGCTGCTCTCCCTCGAAGTGAGGTTGAAACGCGCGCCGCAGCGTCCACGAAGCCGATTGGACGGAGCTGGAAAGTAATCGGAAGAACGAAAAGCAGACTGGAGGACTGGTGGCGAAGGACAAGCAAATTGAACGCGACGGACAAGGAGAAAGTAAAAGAAATAAGTGTTTCTTTTTTCGTTTAAAATATTTTTTTTTCAGCTAGGTACGAACGTGGTTCGGTACCGCCCGATACAAAGGGAACTGCTGCAAGATCATAATCATCATCATCATCATTCCATATAATCTTCCGTTGAGCGAGGTATGAGGATAAGTCCGGAAGACTCGGAGAATTCCAAATTACCCTTAGGTCAGCGACGCCCTCTTGAATGAAGCAGCATTGTCAGAGTATATTGTACTTGGTATTCCTCTTCGGGAAATGAGCCTTCGAAGTGCGAGAAGAAACGCTTCCGTGGAGAGGTCGCTCGTAAGCTTCAGATGGACAGCTCTTGTTGTCGCGCACGTAAACAAGACAATATACGCCTTAGATCTGTTAGTTCCTGCCCTCGCTTCGTTCATATATGAAGCTCCTGCGTAGTCAATGCATGAGGTCTCAAACGGCTTTGTAACATTCACTCGTTCCACTGGAAGCTAAAGCGCCTTGATAATGAGCATCCGTAATATTCAGCTCAGTCAGGCGATGATCGTTCGGTAATATGATCGGCTGTGTCACGGAGCAAGGGGCGTGGATTTGTTGCAGCCGTCCTGTTACCATGAGTGCATTATCGTGGTACAGAAATGGGTGCATATCTGAAAGAGGAGATGCCAGCTCAATGTCCTGATTGCTAGAAGCAACTGAATCTCCCTTGAGAAGGCTTGTCCTTGAGCCTGCTTTATCCAATATCCTTCTGCTGCAGCATATTCTACGGCTTCCAATTGGCCGACTTCTCTATTTCCTTTATAACTGCTGTTAGGCGCAAACCTCATCACCCAGGTTGTTATTATAAGTACCATCTGATCCCCGTTGTACTTCTTTAAATCAAAAAGTGAGACCGTTTCTTGACCTTCTGTTTGCAGGCTCACCTGGGTACGTTTCAACACATTTCTTTCGAGCTCATTGAGTTCCCCTAATTTATGCGGGGTTTCCGGCCAGTCATCTGCTCTAGAAATAAGCCACTTCGGCCCTTCCCATCACAGACAGCTATCGCGAAGAATCGATGGAGATTCTCCTCTTGTCCGTGGGTCCGCTGGGTTAGTCTCTCCCGGGTTGTGTCTCCATTTCTCTGGCACGATCTGGGTTTGAATTTCTAGGACGCGGTGTTTGACAAATGGCTTCCCCCTGGTCGCCGGAACTCTTATCCAACTTATCACAACTGTCGGGTCAGTCCACGTGGTGTATGTCTTTTAACCTCCGTAACGTGACCACTGTTATCTTCGATTCTGAGATAGGCGCATGCTCCATATACCTGCGAGCTGGTGTCCAACTATATGTGCAACTGACTTCTTTAAACGGTTTCGTTAATCCGATCTTAATGCGCCTTGGCACATGTACAGTGCGCCGCAATATGAAAGACCCACTAGGAGCGCGTGGTAGAGGCGGTGGCTGGCGGGGGCGCTGGGAGCGCTCTGGGCAATTTCATTCTGCTTCGAGGGGAGGACGCTCACTCGGGGCTCAGCACAAACTGATAAGCGCGTTGCGCTTTAGCTGAGCCCCGAGGGGGGGGGGGGGGGGAGGGGGGGGGGGGAGGGGGGGGGGCATTGTCCAAGCGCCCATTGTCACATTGTCATCCCGAAATGCTGCAATAATCCTTTGGACGGCTTTGACGGGCCTTCCAACTCTGCGCGATATTCACGCCGTGAAAGTCCTTCCTGAGCAAGGACAACGATCTGGACGCGTTCATCCCTTGGAACTCGAGGCGGCATTTCTGCTGAAGCGCTCGAAGACGAACAGTGAACTGAAAAATGAAGGTTTAATACGCGAACTTGTGCCAAACAAAATAAGTAAAGAAAGAGCGTTGAGGCAGCAGAGAAGCAGGCGGCGATTTGGCGGCGTAACAGAGAGCGAGAGCGAGACTTACTCGACAAGGTCGCAGGCAGCTGCTTATTTACAGTGCGTCACTATCTCCAAAGTTCGGCAAAGAAAGTTCGAGCGTCGCGCGCTCGGGGCGAGGATGATCTGGCACTTCCGAGAAAAAGAAAGCAGTGGGAATGTTGCGTCTGGTGCGAAAATGGACGCGAATCTTCTAGAAGCCCGTGACCGAGCGTTGCTTGCTCGGCTATGCGGGCGGCAATATTTATTGCTCAATCACAGCCAATTCCACATTCGTTGCCGTTATTAGCGATCGCTCATGAATGAAGAAAGCGGTTGAGTCACGTATAAACTATGCCAAACAACGTCCGCTCTAGCTCACGTGCAATGTGCAAATCATTTGCCGGCAATGACGTGGGCACGGTGACCACAAAAAGCGATGCTGAAATCAAAACCCACTTCCACGCTTTCAGCAGGGAGTAGCAGCAGAGCTGAGAACAGCGCTCGATCCAGGCACTTACTCTCGGTGAAGCGCGCGATAAGGAAGCGAGCCGCCACGGCAGCCGCGTGATGGCGCTGATAGCACGAACCGGTCGACGGTTCGGCGTTCACCTTCATACCGGCTGCGGGTGTACTGCGTACATATTAGGGATGTCTCTGCACCAGTTGGACCATTCTACATACAGTCCCTCAGGTAGTTTTTCATCCCAGTTCACTCCCATTTTTCATAGTTTCTGAAAGAGAAGCTTAGCTCGTATAGCGAAAGGAGCAATGAATCTCATGTGATCAAATATTCTTGACGCAGCTTGCAGAATGAAACGCTTGGTGTCCACTTTTGTCTGAAGGAACGATGTACGAGAGTCCATCGAAAACCTGAAACTGTCACGGTCCTTGTGCCAAATCATTTCCAGCACCTTGGAAGCTCTGGACAGCTTAAGGTTCCTGTCTGCCGGTACTGCATCTGCTTCCACTTCGTTCATTATGTGCTGCACGTGCTTGTCGTTTGAGGCCCATTTTCTCAAGCTCATGCCCGCATCATTCATGATGGAGTTAGACATCTCGTATAGGGTAATCGCTTCTTCAACCGTGTCGGCACCCATTCAAATGTCATCGACATAAGAAGAGCTCCTGATATTTTCAGCAATGTTCTTGGTAGCAGCCGCAGTTTTTAGGTGGTGTTGAATTGTCCCACTTAGTAGAAAAAGACTGGAGGATATCCTGAATGGGACTCTGGTCATTCGCCATTCCTGTAAGCTTCCTAAACCAAATGGCCCGGTTGGCTCTTTGGCAAACCACAGAAATTTGACCGTATCACGGTCTTTTGGGCTGAGTTTTATCTGAAGGACAGTTTTTTTTCAATATCAGCTGTCAAGGCGATCGCATACCATCTGAACCGAAGAAGGATTTGGAGGATGTCTGGATTCAGGTTTCGTCCCTTTTCAGGGCAGCCGTTGAGAGACTTGCATCATTTAGCATGTGATGAAGCGTCGAAGAATACCAGTAGCTTTGCGGTTGTAGACTCTTCACGGACAACTTCTTCATGTGGCATGTAATAGACGCGTTTCTTGCGCACCAAGCTGCGTCAAGTCTTCTTGAATAAATGATTGCTGACTGCCTCCGTCTAGAATTCCCCTTATATATCGGCCGGTGTCCTTGTTGATGAACCATGCTTTAAATGTCTGTAGGTGAACTCGATTTCCAATTGTCCCTTGGCAAAAGTCATCTCTCTTTTCATACGGCTTAGACAAAGACACACAGGCGACTGCTCCTTCTTTTGTTCGTGTGTATGATGGGTCACGCATAGTGACGGCATGTCGACCACCGCATGACGAACAGATCAATATTTTTCGGCAATCCCTAGCACGATACCCTTTTGTAGTACACCGGAAGCTCTCCCATCCCTTCCTAACATCTTTTTGTTGTATAGCGTCTCCTGAGCATCGCAAAATTATGTCTCGTGCTTCTTCGAGTGACAAAAAAGGCATTCCCCTGGCACTGCAGGTGCCGAGCTATGGAGCGCTGATGCCGACGGCTGGGACTGTTCCTTCGTTTCGAATGTTCACTCCTTGCCTGGAGCTTCGGAGTGGCCGCTTCGCTCTCTGCTTTCTACTTCGATGCGGAGGAAACTGAGAATCTAATTTAGGTTCGAAGCGGCAGTAGATGTCTCTGGTGCGGAACCGTCGCCCTGCATCAATTATGCGTTGCTTGAGAGCTTGTAGCTGAGTTTCCGATGATATTGCACGACGATGTCATGTCATATGGCATTGTCTTTATCAGAATGTCGCTGAGCATTGCCGCAAAACGTGCAGTTGGAACGTCTAGGGCGTTGAGCAACGTGTGTTCAGCTGCGTTGAATCATAAAGCTTACGAAGACGTCGGGTGTCAACCGAAGATCGAATCCCAGAAAGCTTTTAATCTACTGATAGGTGCTCCTGCTCCATTTTTTTTTTTTAATCTTCGAAGCGCTGTTTCAGGAGTTCAATAGCACCTGCGTAGCACCGCTCGGTCGTCGGTAATCCGGCAATTGCTGATGCTGCATCGTCTGCGAGGTAGCGTCGTAAGTAGTGGAACTTGTCAGTTGTAGACAATGCCCGACTTGAGTGGATTGTTCCATCAAATTGCTCCCAGAAAGTGCGCCAGCGGCTGATGCCGCCTTTAAAAAATGAATATGTCCAGTTTCAGCCATCTTGGACCACTCACTCGGGTGATACTTTCATAAGCGCCCTGTAGTGGGGCCGTTGTAGGAGGAACAGGGTTACGTCTGGCGACCTCCAGGTGTTTGATCTCGTATCGCAGCTCTGCGAGAACCCTTATGTCGTGATCTTGGTATTCGGCTACCGAAACGTACTCATTTTACAGCTCCGTCGTTGGCAATAGTGGCTCCAGCTCTTCGTTAATGCGGTCTAGCTGGATGTTGCTGACAGTCAGCCGATCCTTGACCGCGTGGAGCCTGTCTAAGTATGTCTGTAAATTGTTCAGGATCGTGTCGGCGTCGTTAATCAGTCGCGTGTTGTGGGCTCTTCGGGCTGAACGCTTGGCTTTCAACCGATTCATGGATATTTGTGAGGTCAGTGGTCAGCTAATGCCGTTTCTAACCTTGTAAATCTCTAAGCCGAAGAGTTTCTCTTCGCGTTACTTCTCCCGGTGGTAATGCTTCCGTCGTCTGGCTCTCTGCGATCAAGGCTCCGCTGACAATAAGATTTCCGTTTCACTTGCCTTCGCAGCGTCTTGTTAAGCACGATACGATGACTTGAAGTTCTCTCCCGGGTTTCGGCACCATGTAGAATTCTTAAAGATCTATCAGTGAAACGGTTGATTTTAGCATCAAAAGGTCTATGCGACCATTGGCTTTAATGGTAAAAGAACAACACCCTCATCTTCCTCTTTCGAAAGTCTCGATCAGTGCTTCGACCCCTCGTGCTTTCTTCGTTTTTTTCTTCGACTCCTTCAACAGGTACCTTTCCAAAAGTTGGCGCTGTACCCAGGATCTGGAGAGTCCTGGGACGCTTTGCAAAGGGCGGATCCCCCAAAGCACATAGGTGACTGCCCAAACGATGAGTGGCATCCTGAATTTCTAAAAGGTCCTTCGGGCGCTTTCTGGCGGCGCACACCCTCGGCTTTGAAAATCGCCCTTCCCGCACAGCTCCCCAGTCGACCTTGGCAACGCTGGTGGCCGCGATTTGGGAGCCACGGGACGCCGCTACTGCTGGGGAAGCTCGGCACAAGCAGCCTCGGGGAGAGTGTCCTCGTAGCCCTGCCTCTTTAGCAATACGATGAGCCTCAGTAGCTCCAAGGCATGGTTGCAAAGCCCCTCCTTTGCGGCACACCCGCAGCTGGATGCCTAAACGCTGCCGTTTCCCGAAAATGTCGCCATGATACCATATGGTCTGCCGGACTTCTTTTGGCTCCGGTAGCAGAGGCCGTGCATCACGAGAAACGTAGGTGGTCAGCACACACAACATGCAGGCTTTGAGAATAATGACGACAGATTGCTTGGCAGGCCGTAATCGTTAATGAGGAATCAACCGTTACCCACAAAGAAATGTCGCCTTTTGCTGCGAGAACCCCTCCACGTCACTCTCTGTTACGAACTTTTGACTCCGCCATTTGTTTCGGTCGCTTGTCTGGCGTGCATAGTAGTAGCTGTCTACATTTTCGACCGTTAACGGACCAGGAATAACGACTAAACTTTTACTCCACGATAAGGAATCAAGACGACCAGCACCACTGGAGCTAGTAGCTGCAGCGGGTTACATCACAATGTCGCCGCCTCGCCCGACCCCAGTGGCCAGCTGTACTTTCAAATACCGTCAAGGCAGCGTGTCATTCTTGCCAAGGGCAATTTCGGAAAGGGTATATTCCTTGCTGCAAAAGCACTCCCCAGACTCGTAGTGGGGCAGCACCACGCAATGGCCACATTAGCACCTTGTAGTAAAGAAATCATACGCATGCATCAGGGTTCTCCCCACGGTGGGCGGCAATGGCTTTGCCGCTCACCACTCCGACTGGCCGCCCATCACTCGAACTGACCGCCCACCGCTCAATTTTGTTTTTATGTTGCGGGAGGACAGTGCGATTTTGCCTGTGCACACGGCTGCAGACTGTGGCCGTCGTACTCAGCAGGTCCGCGCACCGTCACGCTATCGTTCGCTATCGCATCGCTGACTGCCGCCACTGCCATACTGCTTCAATCAAAGGGCGCAAGGCTCCGCGTTTTCTTTTTCTTTTTTTTTTTTGTCTTTCTTTATCGCGCCGCCGGCAGTGCCCGGGGGGAGGAGGAGGGGGGGGGGGAGGTGTTAGCGGCGATAAAATGGCGCGACGAACCACCCCTCCAAAAAAAAGAAAACGAACGCCCCCCTTCCCCCCCCCCCCCCCCCCCCCCCCCCCCCCGGTAATGTCCACCCCTCAGAAATTCCTGGGGAAAACCCTGGCATGCATATTCAATACCACGTATGCACTTCTTGATTGACGTTTGTACGGGTTTCAAGATCTTACAAATTAATGTTCTTAAAACGAGCGATGTCTTCAGTCAAGAGAAGGGGCGACGACTCGGCGACTTCTTCGTGCGAATCAGTTCGGCGGTCGTTCGTGTCTTAGGAAATAAATTATTCGAATAGTGTTGATAGGTGAGTCATCTCTTTTTCGAAGCTAGACAAATTTGCGGGTACCGAGAACGAATGTTTTGAAGTAGAGGTCCCACGCCCGTCGTCCGATGTCATCGCTTAGTCCACTTTGTCCAGCCGGCCGTCGAGCCCGCAACTCCCAAACTGTTCCCGTGATAACGCGATACAGCGCCATGTTGATATTTACGCAGTGCATGTGCTTCCGGCACTCTGCGCCTTTTTTTTCACGCAACGTTTGCAGTTTCTTAGACTCCACAGACATGCATTTTTTACTTTACCCTATTTTTAATATTGAGTGTGCGGATTTGATGACCCACGGCTTCGATGATATTGTCACAAAGAAAACCAGTAAATTGATTAATAAAATTTAAAATGAACGTTTAATGAGGCTAAGTTTTGCCGAGAAACAAAGTAACAAAGACCGTACATGCTTTGATGGCGACGGAAGGGCGTCTGACTCAAGCAGCCATGCTAAGCACTTTCTGTGAGCGCGTGGGTATCGAGACATTTTCGAGTTCGAACAAACAACAAGAGTCTCGAGTCATCTGGAACATTCCAGTCGTGCAAACGAAATAAAGATAAAAAGGACAAGCGCTGGCGGGGATCAAACCCCAGCCAGCGGCACAGGAGTCGAGCATGCTTGTGACTCAGCTATTCGCACACGGCATTACTTCCCCTCTTGAGAAAAAGAAATCGTGTCGTCCCGATGCAACATAAAATGAAATTGACGACTCAAAGCCAGAGAAGGGCAAACTACAGAGCCACCTAAAAGAGGTTTCTACAGTCTCGTTGATTATAGTTCAGTTCGAGTCGGTCGACGTGAATAACCGTCCGGTCGCAGAGGGTGGCGTGGCCATGTTCATGTTCCTTCGGGCAACGGATTGCAGTTTATCTCCCTAAGGTAGCGAATAACCCTGCGGCCGAATCAACAGTTC